ACAGGTGCAAGAGATGTCTTATGGTTGACATTACTTCAGCAAATGAACCTCTAAGAATCAGCTTTCCCCTCAGCTAAAAGTACTGAATCTTGTAGGGTATCTGTTCCATCAAACCTAAGTAGAGCTGTCCAGGTTTCTGGTAAAGCATGTCCTTGCAACATTAAATGTCAAATTATGCTGAACTTTGTGTCAGTGGATTAATAGTATTTACAAATGAGCTGAAGTCTTATACTGAAGTCTTCCAGGAAGTGATCATTTGGGCTTTGAACTGATATTTAGACTATAGAAGAAATATATATTTTGCCTTTTACTGAGCATCAAATCTCCCTACTTTCTGATTTCATTGATGAGTGTATTGGGTTTGCATGGCAAGGTTTTGGTGGCAAGGGGGCAGAGGTGGCTTTTGTGACTTCTCATAAAAGTTTAGGCTATGTCTAACAGAGACAGTGCTGGCTGGCTACAAGAGAGACACATGACTGGCCAAGGATAAGTGATGGCAACATTGCTGCCTTAATATGGTTTAAGAAGGGGGAAAAAATTGCTGTGAAGCAGAAGCTGAAAATGAGGTGTGAGAATATGTGAGAGAAACAGCTCTGCAGACACCAAGGACAGCGCAGAGGGAGAGGGGAAGAGGCTCCCCAGGCACTGGAGCTGAGATTCCCCTGCAGCTGTGCTGAAGATTCCCCTGTGCTGAAGACCATGGTGAGGAAGCATGCACCCCTGCAGCCCACAAAGATCCTTGTGGGAGCAGATATGCACCTGCAGCCTGTGGAGGGACCCCATGCTGGAGCAACAGAACAGGATGTTACCCCAGGATGTGGAAAGACCACGCTGGAGAAGGGTTGCTGGCAGGACATGTGATTCTGCAAGGGGTTCACACTGGAGCAGTCTGTTCCTGAAAGACTGAATCCTGTGGAAAGACACCCACACTAAAGCAGTTCCTGGACGACTGCCTGCTGTAGGTGGAACCTGAACAGGAGAAGGGGGAGAATGTGAGGAAGAAGCAGCACCAGGGCCAATGAACTGAGTGCAACCTCTGTTGCCTAACCCCTGTGCCACTGTAGAAATAGAAATTAGTGAAATTGAGAGTGAGGTTGAGCTTGAGAGGAAGGAATTGGGAGGGGAGGAATATGTTTTTAGATTTCTTTTTACTTCTAATTACCCTAATCTGACAATAAATTTAATTAAGTTTTGCAAGTCAAATCTGTTTTGCTTGTGACAGTAACTGGTGAATTATCTTTCCCTGCCCTCATTGTGACGTTTTTGTTTTATTTTCTCTCTCCCCTGTCCAGCTGAGGATGGGGAATGATAGAGCAGTTTAAAGGACATTTGCCCTCTGGCCAAGATCAACCCACCACAATGTCTTAAGCAAAAACTTGGAAATAGGAAACTCTAAGTTTTTAGTAAAAGTTTTGTACAAACCTAGAGTCAGATTCATTGGCATAACAAAGATGGTATAGCATTGGTATAGCAAAGATGCAATAACTTTAAATCTGAAATACCAAGACAAAGAATCAGAGTTCGCAGATGTCTATAGGCTTTCTTTATAGTGTACAAAAACCATGCCCCTCAAGAAAGCCAGTACATTCAGTGAAGAATATAACTTCAAGGAAAGGAAAATGTGTGTTTAAAATCCTGTTGGTATCTTGAATTTAAACATCCCCTACAGTAAGCATCTACATGAAAATAGAATTTGCAACTTAAATATGCTTTTTTAAGGTATATGACCTAATCACAAATTGTGAAACAAATTCCTCAGCGACTGTGTGAATCAGTTGCCTCAAAACTTTTGTGCTTTGTGTGATCCAGGTCTCCGTTTTCAAATGCGTCAATATAGAAATTCTATTCTGCTTCAGTCTGTTTGCAGTGATGAATATTTTTGTCACAGAATTGTGAAGACACATCTTTTTCTCTTTAGTCTTTCAGTTTAAAAATGCTGCAGATTATTTACCTCATTCTTATAAATGTGTATATTCAAAAATTGTGATAAATTATTTGATCACTTTCAACCGCAGTTGCAGCATTTATGCATAAATCCATTTGCTAAAATGATGAAACCTTCCGTGCATATTTCAACAAATTAACTGCATTCTTCATTGGTGCCTAAAGTGCCCTCTCATTAAAACAGTTTTTGAAATTAAGGTGTTGTAACTGTAGCAGGCTGAAATTTCCTTTTCTGTCATCTTTATGTCACCCATTAACTTCCTTTTTTTTTCCCCCTGGCACAATTACATATACAGCAATTATGAATGTTAATATTAAAATTAGGTTGAAAAAAACTGCAGAAAGAAAAGTCAGTAAGTAAATAGCACTACATAGAAAGTGTTCTGGATTGAATGTCTGATTTCTAAAATGTTCCATGCCAGACATCTGTGGTTCAATCTCTGTAGATGTTCTACTAGTTCAGGACCCTTGTCAAGTTTGTGTACATTTAGGTGATGAATGCTTAAATGGAAAGTTTCTGTATTGCTTTCTAGTGGTGAAAAAAGCTAAGTTTAGTTGTTGGTTTTTATTCTGTCAAAAGGCACTGGATATCAGCCCAAATTGCAGCATCATTTCGTTCTACATATACATGCCTCTAAAGTTTAGATAAAGTGAATTGTTGTAAAGATGCTCTGCCATAAATTATAGCTGACAGTGGAAGTGATTAAGGCACATAGTTTGATTGCATGCATTAATCTCTACAACTTTCATCAAGTCTAATTTAATTACCCACAGGTAAAAGTTTCTTTTTAATTTATTAGCTTTGTCAGTAATCAGTTGCACTGTATGCTATTCCTCACAAAAGGTGAAACCCAGCAACATGCATGGAAAAATCAAGTATTGAAAATGAAATTTAAAAAGTTAAGTGCCACAGCCCTCAAGTGTACAGTAACAACGCTAAACTCACCTATGAAATGAGACTATATATTTAATCAGGAAGGACTAACAGAAGTCTTGATTGAGACCAGCCATCTTCCAGGAAAAAAACTTTTGAGAAGGTTTAATAATTTTCAGAATTTGAAACTGCTGCTGTTGTTAGAATATCCTGTTCAGGTGACATCAAGCCTACGGATTTATATATTTTTAACTGATTTTATGGCACTATCTGTACCTGGCGATTTGTTGCTTAGCTGACAGTGATCATGAGTATGGATGTTAATTTTAATAACAACTGTTAGGACCCAAATATTCAGCATGGTCATCATTTTAGGTCTTATATACGCATTATCTTGAATTTTTTTTTAAGACATTTCAAGAAATTTTATATAACAGAAATGCCCGTTTCAGTACTCTATTGCATTCGTAGACAGTTACATTTGCAAGACTACTCAAAAACATTGTCCAGTCAGTATTTTGAATTTAATGTTACACAGTCTCATAAACATCCATGTCTTTTGCTTACAAAATCCCTAACCAAAAGGAATATTGTAGAGGTTTGGAGTATGTGTGTGTGGGGGGGTTTGGTGTTTTTGTTCATTTGTTTGTTTGTTAGGTTTTTTAATTTTTATTTTGATTTTGTTTGTTTTGATTTGGGGTTTTTGTTGCTTTGTTTTTGGTGGTTTGTTTTTTTGTTTCCCTATGCATTCTATTATCCCAATAACATAGACATAAATGAGTTTTGCAAATTTTGTTATTAAAACTCATTGTAATTCTGATAAAACATTAGGAAGAAGATTGGTTTATGTTATTGATTTTTTCCACAATCACATGGAAAAAACAAAGGAAAAAAAAATCATTTGGTACCAGTGTGTGATTAACTGTCAATATCTAAGAGCCAAACTCTGTTTCCTATATGTCAATTAATAACATTTTATACTTTGAAATTCCTCAAATAAATGTATTGCTGACAGAGGAATTATCTTTTTTTTTACATATCTCAAGAATTTTTAGTGCTTACTAGCCCTTAAATAATGCTCACTAAACCATTTCAAACAAATATCATGTTGAAAAGATACACAAGGGAAATAAAAGAGTCTTCCTAAATTGCACAGTACATGCAATTATGATTAAACTTGTTTAGTGAAACATGAAAATAAACTGCTTACTCGTGTCAAATGGATTTAATTACTGCACTTGCTGTCAGACAAAAACCAGCCTTCCCATGATTTAAATCTGTTAAACTACATGGCTATAAATTTAAGAAAATATTTTTTAATGTAGTGCATGTACATTATTACTGTTGATGAGCAGTTAAGCACAGTAGCTCGCAATCTGTGGGAAAAAATACAACTAATTAGGACCTGCAAAGAAGTGCATGAGTGCCTTCTGTGGCACGCCAAACATCATAAAAGAATATATGGTGCGACTCCAAAGCAATGCACACACAAGGGCTGAAGGGAAACTTTCAATATGAAAACTGTATACAAACCATATGATATACCTAGCAAGTAGCAAGAGTGACGTGCATATTTTATTTTTTCTTTTGTTGATCTTTTTTTCTTTAATAAAGGCATTGTGCCATGGAGTTTACTCTAAAGTAAACTCTGTAATAAAGGCATTATGCCATGGAGTTTACTCTAAAGTTGTTACTTTCCATGAGGCTAAAGGATGATAAGCATTTTGCCTGACTGAGTGGGACAAGAGCAGTTCCAGGCAGGGGGAGGACAGGCTATTCCCCTCTTGCAGCTCAGATGGCAAACCCCAGGCTAAGTGGAAATGCAGAGAAAGGTGCTGTGGGGACAACAAGAATTCATATTGGACTGCCAAATTAAAGAATGCTCATCAAGGCATAAAACAATAATTTGGCCTAAGGCCCTGTTACGTGGGAAGAAAATCCATAAGTTCAAAACAATATCGAAAGTGTAACATGGATAAAATCAGTGAACAGGCACAACCACTCTCAAACTGAGAATCAACATAAGAAAAATATCTGAAAGTATCTAAAATGAAAGTTCTTCATAAACCCATATCATCCTGTAATAATTTGCATTTATATATTTTTCAACTTGCAGTTTCATGCAGAAAATTACTGCTTCATTGGGAGACAAAAAAAGAAAAAAGAAATATTGCTTATTCATGAAAGCCTTTAATACTTTTGATCAATTTACAGAAGTAGCCTTGCAATATAAGATATTAAGAGACAACTTTAAACCCACCTGAACAAGAAGTTAAAATGTTTATATTGATTGGCATAGTAATTAAAAGCCAATATATTCTACAATAGCTATTCTGTTCAATTTCTCCATGTAGTCCAAAGGTATAAATCCATTATCTTTAAGCCACCATGGATTATGTGGGTTGTTTTAACGCTATGCCGTTAGCCAAGAAAGTTTTTCACAATTCAAAAATCTCCTCTTTATTTCTTTTCCTTTCTTGTCTGTACAGAATGTTGCCAGAAACATTGTGGATGTTGACATAAGTTTTAATTAAAGGCAAATAATGAGAGATAATGAAAATAAAGGTGAGCAACAGATACAGACTTCTACAAGAAATTGCAGAGCTTTAAAAGTCATGCTTCAAACTTTGGAAATATCACAGAGAAATAAACAAAATATTCACCCAGACCATTTAGTTGTGACTTTACAGTCAATTATCTCATTTTTAGCTCTCATGTTGTGCTGGTTTTGGCTGCAGTAGAGTAAATTATCTTCACACTGGCCAGTGTGAGTGTATGTTTTGGGTTTGTGCTGAACCCAATAATGATAAGAGAGATATTTTTATTTTCTCTGAGCAGACTCTTTCTCTGAGCAGAGCCAAGGCCTTTCCTGGTTTGTGTCCTGCCACACTGATGAGAAAACTGAAAGTGCATGAGACATGGGAAGGGGACACAGCCTGGACAGGTGGCCACAACCAATCAAAGAGGTCTTCCAGACTATATGACATCATGCTAAGTATATCAAGTGAGGAGAAGAGGAGAAGGGGGGACATTTGACTTCCCACGTAATTTTTAGGAGCAAAGGAGACAAATAGGGTATAATACAAAAGTTGAATAAGGCTAAAAACGGAAGTGGAAAACTATTTGCCCCATCGCTGTGCAACATAAGATGTTTTTGTTGGCTAGAGATATGAAAACTTAGGCATGATGGGGCCCTGCTCCCCTGGAGATGGCTGAACGCCTGTCTGCCCATGGGAAGCAGTGAATTAACTCCTTGTTTTCATTTGGCTTGTATGTGCGGCTTTTGCATTCCCTATAAATCTGTCTTTATGTCAGCCCATGGGTTTTCTCCCTTTCACCCTTCCAATTCTGTTTCACGGGTGGAGGAGTGAGACAGAGGCTGCATGAGACTTGGCCTCTGGCTAAGGTTAAAGCATGACAGGTGTAGGCAAGGTTGAATATATGAAGACAGTATAAACAAGGGAATTTTTACTCTTCAGGCATCAGAACTGAACAACAATGAATAACCAGAAGAAACACTGCTTATTGGATTAAGTTATTGCCTGTTTACCAGAGATGGGGTTAGATGGGTCTCATTGTACATTCCATTGAATGAAATAGGTGCTCCTCACATTCAAGAAACAGATGAGAAATATTTACTCTGATTCAACTTCTCCCTTTCTTCTTCTCATAGTATTTAAACACCACAATAAACTAACTGCAGTGCACACAATAAACTAACTCTACTGCAAGATTATTTCTGAGATTAATTACCACTCAGAAGTAACATTAATTATAGAAGAAAAGCGTTTAACATGTTGAAGAGCAAAAGTTTACTTGTACTTTTTTACTCTAACAAAATTCTAAACTTGAAGGAAAATGAGGATATGCAGATATTCTAGCAAGGACCCACTTTAGCCATCTAACTAGTACTGCCAAGTCTCTTCAGAGACCTGCTCTGAATCAAGACAAACTGGGTATCTTGCTCTGTATAGTGCAAAGTCAGCTTCTGTTGTCTTATTCAGAGACTATGTAGTAATATCTGTCATCCCTTTAATATATGTATTCATGCTGTAACTGTGAAAATCTCCAGTGAAAGTCAATAAGAGAAGTTAGATATTTGTGACTAGCAAGTTAAATACTGACACTATGTACAAAAGAAATATTTTTAATTTACCATGTATTTTGTATCTCAAATAAAAGAGAAAATAAGAAAAAATAAGTAATTTTTAGGAGCAAAGGAGACAAACATTATGTAATGCAAAATTTTAATAATGCTTAAACTGAAAGTTGAAAGGTGTTTGCCCCAGCCCTTTGCAGCACAATACATTGTTGCTGGCTAGATATATACGAAAAGTTTGGCTTCACTGAAAATAGACAGAAGAATGTGCTTTGGTGAGCAACCGTATTGATTTGTAATTGGTAAAAATTTTAAAAACTCTCTCCCCAGAACAACTCAGCACTTTGTTGAGTGCAACAACTGAGATCTTAAAACATCTCTTCAATAGATCTTTCAGGTTATTCTACAAATAGATACAATACCTTTTTTGAGTTATAAAAATAATTTCATTTATAAAGGAAATTGATATGTTTAGAATGGATGAAGCACTCTCCCATAAAAATGAAGGTCTAATGGAGAAATGCATGGGTCATATTAAACACAAAACTTTCTCTTGCTCAGAGCAAATGTCTATGCAAATTGTACGCTGCCTACATAAAACATACAATTAGCAAGATATAGATGTTTCCTTTTTCAGTTCCTTGCTGTAACTTCAGAGGGAATGAATGGTCTTTTTCCACCAGTAATTCCTTTCCTGGAGAATTTGAAATATGTTCAATTTTCAGGATGCCTTGTTGTTAGAGGACGTTGCTTTCAAATCACTGCATTTTCAAACAGGCTGTGCACTGAAAATGGAAAGTATGGTAACTGGAAATTGACATGCTTTACAGAAGCCCGAGACAGAATGTTTCTCTACTTAGTAGCTCAGGCAGAACATGTAATTATTTTCACATCTTCCAGGAACATTGGTTTACTGTTAGATTGCTGTAGCTCTGTCCATGTGCAGTGCATTTTGGCTCTGTCATTCAGAACTAGCTTGGTGAATATGTTAAATTTACTTTAAAATTTCATAAAAGATTACTGAACAATTCTATCCATGTAGAAAACAATTACTTTCCAGTCAAATTTGCCATAAAGTTTTCTCGCTTCATGTCTCCCTATACTGTACAGGTTATTTTCAAAGAGGGTATTATTGCAAGAGTCAGAAAGTTTGGTTGCTGCCCTCACAAAGCTGTTTTAATTAGTCCAATTGTTTTGATATATACCAACTTTTATAAAAGTTTATCTAGAGTTATGATATAGATTAATACAATCTGTGGACATAATATTACATTAATAATATTAACATTAATACTTCTGCTGGAGAATACAAAGTTAATCAAAATTTATAGAAGACTTGTTTTGGCAATGAAATTTTGAAATTACAAGATTTTGTATTAATAGCTACATATTCTCTTCATAAGTATTTACTTCTACTTTGTAATTACTCTGTGATGAAGGAAATTTTTGTCTAAACCTTATAGACAGAAAACTGAGGCAAATGGAAGATTAGAGTCAAAAAGAGAAAGACCCTTAGTCATTGTCAGTATTGCAATGCTATTGTGACAATACAAAGTTCTCATTTTGATGCCTTTCTTTCAGAAAACATCTTTCTGGAATAGCTAAGTCAATCATGAGGCACAAAGATAATGAATTCAGAGAAGCAGAAATAGCTTCTGGTACATAAAGGACAAGAAATCACCTCAAAATCTAAAAAGCACAGAACAAGCCATAGATGTCTATAATTCCTCTGCCATTGATATTAAATGTCCTTCATGGGAGTCCTTAGAAAGATACATAGAAGTTCATATTTCTGCACATGATTTAATGACCACTCTATGTAATGATTTTTTTAAATATTTCAGCTTAACTTATTGTTTTCTCTCAGAAAATGAAGGCTTAAAAAAATGTAGCATCCTACATTATTTAATATATTCATTGTGGTATCACACAGTAACTTTCAGGTAAAGTGCTGAGGTATCATTAAGTTAGATAGAATGTAATGTGAATTGAGAGTTGGCAAGACTATGAGGATCAAAGGTCCATGAACAGTGGCACAGTCCAGCTGGAGGCCAATTACAGTGGACTTCTGTCACAGAACTGATCTGGGATCAGTATTGTTTCACTACTATTTAATTATTTGTTTCGTTGTCTTAATTACAACCTAGATGGATAAACATCAAACTCAGCAAATCTGTGGATGATACCTAGCCTGGAAAAGTGGTCAATACACTGGAAGACGGAGCTAATATTCAGAGGGGCACAGAAAGGCTGGAGAAGCAAACAGAAGGAACTGCATGAAAATCACCTAAAGCAAAAACAAGCAACGCCCAGCCCCTGGGACAGACAAATTCCTGCAGCAGAACAGGCTGGGGCTGACTGGGTGGGAGCAGTTCTGCAGAACAAGCTCTAAGGACAGCAGGTTGGCAGTGTTCCCATGCAGGAATGTGGCCTTTTGTCTGGGCCTGCACAAGCAGGGATGGAGTCAGCCAGTCTGGGAAGGCATCTTTCCCTGGCTGGATCTCTCCTGCATGACATTTACATAATATTGTGTGTCCCTCAGATGCCACTGAGGAAGGACTGCAAGATCTGGATGTGTTCAGCCTTTAGGAATATGAAGGGTGAGAGGAAGCATTGCTGTCCTCAGGTATAGAATGTGCAAGTATAGAGAAGATAACCCCTGTTTCCATACTTATCAAGCAGATGAACAGCCGAATGGGACTGCAGGACCAATGTTTTTGCCACTGGAAATGTCAATTTCATGACCACCTGGAGAACCTGAATGTACTAAAATATTTGTGACACCCAATGAGATGCATCCCAGAATTGTGTGTGAATTGGCTGATTTAGTTGCCAAGCCACTCTCCACGATACTGGAAAAGTCATGGCAGTCTGGTGAAAACCCAGGTGACTGGAGAAAAAAGGAAAACATTCACCCATCTTTAAAAAGTGTGGAAGGGAGAACCCTGGGAACTACTGACCTGTCAGTCTGTCCTCTGTGCCTGGGAAGATCGTGGAACAGATATTCCTAGAAGCTAAGCTAAGGCTCATGGAGGACAGGGAGGTAATTTGAGAACTATGCGTGTCACTGATTTGAACTTCTGTAAAGCCTTTGAAATTGTCCCCCACAGCATCCTTAAATTGAAGAGATATGCATTTGATGGGTGCACTGTTCAGTAGTGATAAATTGTTCGTCAAATGACATCCAGAAGGTAGTGGTCAATGGCTCACTCTCTAAATGGAGATCAGTAACATGTAGTGTCCCACAGGGGTCTGCATTGGGAGAAATCTTCTTCAACATATTTGTTAATGACACAGGCAATTAACAGTTTCGGTGCACCCTCAGCAAATTTGCAGATGACACCGAGCTGAGTTGTCTGGTTGACACATCTGAAGATGGGATGCCACTCAAAGGGACCTGGACAAGCTTTATAAGTTGGACCATGAGAATATCAGGAAATTTATGAAGACCAGGTGCAAGGTCCTGCACCACGGCTGGGGCAACCCATAGTTTTGATAAAGTCTGGGACATGAACAGGTTGAGAGTAGTGCTGATTGGAAGGTCATGAGGACGCTGGTGGCTGAGAGGCTGGACCTGCCCCAGCCATGGGCACTGCCAGCCCAGAGAGCCACACGTGTCCTGGGCTGCATCCAGAGCAGGATGGGCAGCAGGGCAGGGAGGGGATTCTGCCCCTCTGCTCTGCTCTGCTCTGCTGAGAGCCCACCTGCAGGGCTGCATCAGCTCTGGGCTCCCAGCACAGGAAGGACATGGAGAAAGTCCAGAGGAGGGACACCAAATGTGAAGGATGGAACTCTTCTCATAGAAAGACAGGCTAAGAGAAATGTGATTATTCAGTCTGAAAAAGAGAAGGCTTCAGGGTGACCTAATTATGTCTTCTGGTATTTGGAGCGAGCCTACAAGAAAGATGGAGATAAGCTTTAGAAGGATATGTAATGACAGGAGAAGGGCAATTGGTTTTAATCTGAAAGAGGGTAATTTTAGATTAGATGTTAAGCAGAAATTCTTTACTGTGAGTGTGGGGAGGCATTGGAGCAGATTGCCCAGCAAAATTGTCGATTCTCTGTTTCTGGAGATGTTCAAGGCCAAATTCAAAGAGGCTGTGGTTTAGTAAAAGGTTTACTTAACTGTGGCAGGAATGTTGGAACCAGGTTATTTAGGTCCTTTCCAACTCAACCCATTCTATGATTCTTTGATTCTATGGACACAGAGCTGTACAGTGAAATAAGAGAGACATACAAAAGAAGAGTGAGGTATTCACCTACATATAAAAATAAATTATTTGCATGTTATGGGTACTCAGAAGAGGTTAGTCATAACAGCTTTGCAACAGCCACCTTTGATTTCATGCAAAAGATGGGAAAAAAGTTCTTAAAAAATTGATTGAGTTGTGCTTTCTTTGAGCATGGGACCAGATGACCACCAGAAATTATTTCTGATGTATATTTTTCCATGATTCCTTATTAGAGAAAAATCATCTCCAGTCTGGATATTTTATGTGGCTTGTTTGCAGCATGTTACACTGTCTGGAATTCCATTTACATCTGACAACCACATGAAAAATTTTTATTTTCAAGTAAGACATCTCCGAGGCTTACAGTTCTCTTAATTCTCTTTTAAAAGCTAATTGCACTGTACACAGATGCATCTGGGACTGAAGTCACTTTTTATACAGTGATGATGCAAATCCACTAATAAGGGGAGAAATCCTTTTGAAGATGAAGTATTTTTTTTTCGTATTTAAAGTATTATGGGGTTTTTTCTATGACATGCTTTCTCAGGTACTTCTGCCTGATTTTTGCAAACTCAATGACACCCTAAATATCCAAGATGTTCTCTAATATAATGAAATAGTAAGATTACTGCCTTTTGAAATAGAATAAAATGCATTTGTATTTCAAGAGACAAGACAAGAACTATGTACTGTACTGCAAGTTTCAAATTTTAGGTATCTCATTGTGGCATTATGTTTATAAATTATTAAGTAATGTAATCACATGACTTTCTTTTTACTAAAACTGGAAACTAATTTAAAAAACAATGAAACCACAAATAAGCTTTCAAGCTGGGGAGAATTATGTCCGTTTTGCAAGGCATGTGGTCTGAAAAATGCCATCTATACTAAGAAGTCAAAACGACTGCATAACATAAAATTAATTCCCCAAGTTATAATTAAAAACTGCACTCATTGGTGATTTCTGTATTGACGGCTCAACTGAAATAGGACCACATAGACTCTTGATTCCTGTGATTACCTTTGGGTACCCCTTTGTGACATAATTTTAGAATCCTGCCAGCCATTACTCAAACCACATGGTCTCAAGGAGCTTTTAAGCATCATAAAACAGATGAACTTGAAAATGTCAGTATTTGGTGGGATATGGGTATATGAGACCTTAAAGGATTAAAAGATATCAGGCAGACAAGACGAATGAATGACAAATGGATACATGAATGTGTGAGGAGACTAAAACATCTGTCTATCCCACTGTATGCAAGTTATTTATGTATTATTATTTATGTATTATTTATTATATTAACTCTTCCCTATGTTTTTCTTTTTGCTTCCACTAAGTTTGTTTTGGGGGATGTGTTCAACAGTATTAAACTATGACCAAGCAAATGTAAGATATCATTGAAAGAAACATTGCAAGGTAATTAATGGTTTAACTCACTCTGAGTTTTCAGTAATAAATGATAAGTAGAATTTTACTTCTCTTGCAGGGGAGACAAACATCAACAGTTGCATTTTGCTGCTGCAGGTTGAAAGATTGAGCTATTTGCTCT